AGAATCGTGCTCTCGTTTGGGACTTCCTGGCAATTTGCCACCGAATCGCGGCTCCCGCCTGATAATTGCTGACAATTTATTGCAGAATCGCGTTCTCGCTTGGGACTTCTTCGCAGCTTTCCACCGAATCGCTTCGCTTCAAATGTCCTCACAATTTATTCAGATGCCGGTCCTCGACACTCCGGAATCGCGCTCCCGCTACATGTTGCCTGGCGGTTCAAGCAGCATGACTCACACTTCAACGACCCGCCCGCTCGACCCGCCCGTCGGGGCCTGCCCGTCCGACCAGCCCGTTAATGACTGCAGTCGCCGCTCGCTGCCCTTCGCCCGCCTTCGATGCCCCTCGCTGCCCGTACTGGTCCCGCGGTCGCCTTCGCTCGCTGCCCTTCGTGGCCCCGTTGCTGCCCTCAGTGGCCCCGTCGCTGCCCTTTGTGGCCCCGCATTCTGTGCCCTTCGTGGCCCCCGCTCGAACGCGCCCGTCGTGGTCCCATACGCATGCCCTGCGTAGCCCCGCTGTCGCCCTTCGTGGCCCCCTCGCTGCCCTTCGTGGCCCCTTTGCTGCCGTCAGTGGCCCGGTGTCGCCCTTTGTGACCCCGTATACGAATGCCCTTCGTGGCCCCCGCTCGCTCGCGCCCGTCGTGGCCCCATATGCATGCCCTTCGTGGCCCCGCTGTCGCCCTTTGTGGCCCCCTCGCTGCCCTTCGTGGCCCCGGTGCTGCCCTCAGCGACCCCGTCGCTGCCCTCTGTGGTCTCGGTTTTTATGCCCTTCGTGGCCCTTGCTGGCTTTTCTCACGATTTACTTGGGAATCGCGCTATCGCTCGAGGCTTCCTCGCGATTCATGCAGGACCCACGCTTCAACAACCCGCCTGCTCGACCTCGTCGCCTGGGCCCGCCTTCCCGACCTGTCCGCTATGGGTCTGCCCACCCGATCTGCCCGTCTGCTTCTACCACTTGTTTTCTGCTCCTTGCCCCCCTCCTGCTAATTTCTCTCGTGCTCCATTCTTCTCCCTCCCCCTTCCACTCGCCCTCTCTTCCCTTGTTTTAGGGGCTGCACTAAATACGCGTGGCAGGTGAGGAAGATTTACCCCCAAGGGGGTACGATCGAAGACGACGAGGGCGGGTACCGAGGGTTTGGGATATACGTATTCAGTGGCCCGTGAGCAGATAGGAGCGAACAGTGTTAAAATGATTGTTGCTGTTGATGCTGATTATGCTGTTATTGTTGTTATTGTTGTTATTGTTGTTGTCGTTGTCGTTGTCGTTGTCGTTGTCGTTGCTGTTGTTGTTGCTGTTGTTGTTGTTGAAGATTATTACTTCTAAAGAATAATTATTGTTGGGACCCCTGGTGCGTGACCCCCCCGCCGCGCCTAGGCCGCAGCCACGTTTTCATCATTTTCGTGAGGAAGTCTCAGGCAAAACGGGTTGGTCCGGATCCGGTTGTGTTGTTACGATCGGTTTTCCCTTGCAAAAAATAAGCTAAAGTGGACATTTCTTGTTCTAACATAACCAAACTTCAAGAATCCCTTGCAAAAAATAAGGTAAAGTGGACATTCGCGCGCGCAAGACGAAATCCTTCCAAAACCTTAGTTTTCGTAGCGATTTTAACATAAAAACATCAAAAAACCAATGGTTTTTCAAACAAAAATGTCAAAATTTCATCCCGCGCGCTCTTGCGGATTCGTAGGAAACCCAACACTTTTTAAACATTTCTGTCAAACGGGCTTTTGCGAGCAACTTTTTCGAACTTCTGCAACAACGGTTGCGCACCTGCCAGGGCCATCATCCCTGTCAAATAATACCATGCGGGACACATTCGTTTTTTCTTCGCGCGCGCACGCCGTCGTCGTCGGCCGCGGGGCCCTGAATAGTAGCCACGGTCGTCCGCATGCCACGAAGTGAAGTGTCCGAACGTCATAGGGCGGGAAGCTGGGTGTGGGTGGTGGCGAAGAGTCGTTTGGAAATTTGGTAGAGCTTGAACCGGCCCCCCCACAAAGTGGGGGTATTGCCCGCCTCCTATGAAAACCCTGGCACTGGTGAGAACGGAGTGTCCCCACGTGCTAGTAATTGTTGTTGTTGTTGTTGTTGTTGTTGTTGTTGTTGTTGTTGTTGTTGTTGTTGTTGTTATTGTTGTTGTTGTAATGATTGTTGTTGTTATTGTTGATGTTGATGATGTTGTTGTTGCTGTTGTTGTTGTTGTTGCTGTTGCTGTTGTTTTTGTTTTGTTGTTGTTGTTGTTGCTGTTGCTGTTGCTGTTGCTGTTGCTGCTGCTGTTGAATGCCAATTACTAAATCATGTTTCTTGTTGGACACCTTAAAGGCGCTCTGGCGCTCTCGCCGAGGCGCCGGCTACATTTTCGTTGAACATGAGGCTCACGCTCGAGCGGTTTGGGGGACCGCCAAACTCGGCTCCCCAACAACAGCAACGCTCCCGCTCGAGGCTTCCTCCTTTTTTGACTCAGGGCTGGTGTTCTTGCTCGCCGCCGAAAGCCGCCGTCCTAACAAAACCAGCGCTCCCGCTCGAGACTTCCTCCCGTTTTACTTTGGACTGGCGCGCTAGTGTTTCTCTCATCGGCGCCGCCCCCAGCAAAAACAACGCTCCCGCTCGAGGCTTCCTCCATTTTTGACTCAAGGTGGTGTTCCTCCTCGCCGCCGAAAGCCGCCGCCCCGACAAAACCAGCGCTGCCGCCCGAGACGTCCTTCCGTTTTACGCTGGACTGGCGCCCTACTCTTTTTTGAATTGGCGCCGCTCCCAGCAAGAACAACGCTCCCGCTCGAGGCTTCCTCCCTTTTTCCTGAAGTCGGTGCTGTTCCTCGCCGCCGACAGCCCCCGTCCCGACAAAACCACGATTCCCACTCGATGCTTCCATTCTTTCTCAAGGCGGTGTTCCTCCCCGCCGCCGAACACCGCCGCCCCGACAAGACCAACGCTCCCGCCCGAGACGTCCTTCCGTTTTACGCTGGACTGGCGCCCTACTCTCTTTTGAATTGGCGCCGCTCCCAGCAAGAACAACGCTCCTGCTCGAGGCTTCCTCTCTCTTTCCTGAAGACGGTGCTGTTCCTCGCCGCCGACAGCCCCCGTCCCGACAAAACCACGGCTCCCGCTCGATGCTTCATCCTTTCTTACTCAAGGCGGTGTTCCTCCTCGCCGCCGAAAGCCGCCGTCCCAAGAAAACCAGCGTTCCAGCTCGAGATTTCGTTTCGTATTACGCTGGACTAGCGCCCTACTCTCTTCAGCATGGGCGCCGCTCCCAACAACAACAGCAGCCCTGCTCCAGCCTTCCTCCCTTTCTATTCAGGGCCAGGTCCTTGCCTCACCGCCGACAGCCCCCATCCCCACCAGGGCAATCCTGTCGTTCGATACTTCATTGTGCTTTACCCTTCGATGGGTTTCCACTGGCGGTCTCGCATCGGCGCAGCAAGGTGCGGACATTTGTTTTCGAGGCGGGATATGTTGAAATTCCTCGGAGGAGGTGTTTGCAAGACCTCATTGGACGGGAGACCTGGAAATGGGAATAACGGACCCCGCTATAAAACAAGAGCCCCCCATTACGTGGATGCTTGTCATGATGCTCGCATGCTTCGTGTGGACATATCGCGCATGAGGGTAAACTGATTGTTGTTGTTGTTGTTGTTGTTGCTGCCGCTGCTGTTGTTGTTGTTGTTGCTGTTGTTGGTGGTGGTGATGACGATGTTGTTGCTGAGCTCTCAACATTTATTGTTTCCCCTCTCTGGTAACACATGCTTTCTTGTCCGGGAAAGTCTTGGTGCTCAAATTGCGCCCCCTGGCCCCCGAGCTACGACAACGACGGCTCCCGCCTGATACGTCCTCGCAATGTGTTGAAGAATCGCGCTCTCGCTTGGGACTTCAAATGCAAATTACCCAGGAGTCGAGCTCTGGCCTGAGACGTCCTTGCAATCTACTCAGGCGCCGCGCTCTCGCCATTCAGGACTCGCGCTCTCGCTTTGGCTTATCGCACGATTTGCTTGGGAATCGCGCTATCGCCTTCAGGAACCCGCCTGGGTCCGCCTTCCCGACTCGCCTGTTAGGGTCTAATCGCCCGATCTGCCCGCTTGGTTCTGTCACATGTTTTCTGCTCCTAGCCGCTAACCCCCGTCCTGCTCTGGCCCATCGAACCCTTAGACATTTTATTAACTTTGAGAGCGCGGCTTCCAGGTGACTGGATGCCGCTCCCCTGGAGGTGGTGGAGGAGGAGGATGTCCCGTGAACCGTGGAACTCGAAAGCCGCCCATTTAGCTGTAATAACGTAGTGCGTCTCCTTGCATGGTGCCATCAACGTACAGCGGGCCCACTGCGATGGTCACTGGTTGCAGCTGGGAGAGAGACACCTCGGATGATTGCGTTTTTTTCGATCTGGACGCTATCGGTGTTTCAATCTGGTGCCCCTACGATTGCGTTGGCCTCATGTTACGTTGCATCTTCGGTGGACTCGCCTGTCCCCAAAATTGGTGTCTTTTCTTGTGCCTGACGCGGGCTCAATGCGGACTCGACGCAGATTTGGCATTCGACGCGGATTCGACACGGATTCGACACGGATCCGACGAGGCCGACATGGGTTCGACACGGATTCGACGCGGATAGGGCCGCGACGGGACAGACAAGATCCCCCGATGATGCAACACAATTCATGTGTGGATTGACACTTTGATCCCGTCGTTCAGAGTGGCGCCTCGCTCCAGCGCGGGCTGCACTTCTGGATCCGAGTGCGCCCTCACCCCCCCGTCTGCCCCATTTTTCCCTCCTCCTCCCTTCTCCTTGTCCTTCAGCCCTCCTCATTCCTCGCTCTTCCTTGTTGCTCCTCCTCCTCCTCTTCCTCCTCCTCCTCCTCCTCCTCATCATCATCATCCACGTGATTCGTTTTCAGAGGCCTCTGACGACTCGGAAATGTTCCAACGCATGGAACCAGCAGGACTCTTGATCCTCCAGACGGCTGGCCAGCATTTCGGAGCTGGCGCGGCGGCCAGCGCGCGACGCCTCTGAGGCAAGTTCCTCTTCACCAACGAGGAGCGGAACCAGTCCCCGACGGCCATCGTAGGCCAGCTTTCTGCCCGCCTGTCTTCGTCCCGCCTCGGGCTCCTCCTGCCGTTCCTCCCAGTCTCGCTGCTCTTGGTTCTCTTTTCATTTGCCCTCCCTCCCGCGCCTGCCTCATCGTCCTTCCTCCGCTTCCCTTCTTGCTCCTTCGTCCAGTTCCTTTCTTGCCCCTTCCTCTTCTGCGTGTCGTATTTCCTCCTGTCTCATCCTTCCTGCTGCTGCGTTTCTTTTATCTTTCGGCTCCACCCGCGTCGCTCACTTGCACGGTTTTTCATTGTGAAGCTGTGCGTTGTGTCGGCCACGCGCAGAGGGGATAGGGGCAAGGGGGAAGGCTTCTTATAAGCCTCTCAGAACGCGCGGGCCTTTTCTGTAGATGTAAGGCCGGCGCCTGCTAAGAGGCAGCCTCCTCCTATGCAGCCTTCTCCCCGCTCCCTGCCGCCCTGTGTGCGCGCCGCCACTGGTGAGCGTGCTGCGAAGCGACACGACGAGTCGGGCTCGGACCTCGGGCGCCTCCGCGGCGAAGACTGCGCGCCAGTTTCTCGCAGCCGCGCCGTGGGGGGGCCAGGAGCTGCGGCCCGCGCAGCCGCGCACACCCTGCAGGGGGCTCCCCGGCGGTCGGCCGTTCGTTCGTTCCCTTCTTTCTCTCCCCCTCCCTTGCTTCCTCCTCTCTCCCAGCGCGTCCGCAGTCGCGATGGCTCTAGATGTTGCCAGGCTCTTCCCGCATTTCTTGACGAACGGAGCCGCAGCTGCAGCAGACGTCGTTTGAATCTGCCGTACTCCAGGCGTACTTGGGAGTGCCGATACCGCACAAGCCATATTGATTTTGCGATGCATATCATGATACCCCCGCCAGGAAGGACTGGGGTCCCAGGCTCAACGTCTCTTGGTCCTTCCTAGGTTTTCCCCCGAGGACCGGGTCTTCTTCCTGGGCTGATGCTGCTTGGCTGTCTCGAGGCCCGTGTGCACGGCTGGCCCCGGGGGGGCCAGACACTGCAGACTTCATCACAGCACCGCGAAGCTGCAGGAATTTCGCAGACGACGTCTGTACATCACTAGCCTGCCCGGCCAGGGCCGTCCTGGGCCCGACGACGGTGTATAGATCGGGGGCGGAAAAGAGGGTGGTGATGACTAGGGGGGGTGGATATCGTGGCGTGGGCCATGATATTTCCCCAGATTTCATGGCGCCTCTTCCTATTTCGTTACGCCCCTGGCCCCCCCGCTGGGCCGCGCACATGCCGCCGGTCATGATTTGCACCCCCACCCCTCTTGGCCACCCCCCTCTTGGCCGCTCCCGAACAGACTGGCCAGGAGGCGTATACACCATGCAAGGACACAGGATGGCCCTGGCCAGACACGGTGGTGGTGTATGGACGCGAGCTCCGCGCGGATGTCTTGCATCTGCGCTGTGCTCCCCTCCTTGGCGCGCGGGGAGCGCGCCGGGGGCGGCGCCAGAGAGGCGCCGCCAGAGAGGTGCAACGCCCATCCCAGAAAGCCGCGCGGACCTCCCACAGTTCATGCGTATACCGCATTCCCGTTCTACACCTTGGGCGATGCTTAAGAAAACTTACATTTTCGGCCAGAGTCTCGATTATTCTTAATGTTTCAATGTGAATCCTAAGATTTCAATCGAAATTCTGGGTTTTTATTCAAATTCTGAGACTATGAATTTCTTAACCCATGATTTCTTAAGCATTTCGCAGGGTGTAGTGCAGGACTTCCAGGCCCAGCTCCCCTCGTTCTGCGGCTCGCGTCGTGTCGATGCGGGGGCGACCCCACCACAGGTCCAGGGTGAACGCCGCCAGCAGCCCCAGAGTCGGTTGACGTGGAAGGATTTGGCGACCGACACGCCGCCGATCTTTTTCATGGTTGAGCGATCCACGCGGTACCAACGCTGGCGCAGTCACAACTCGAAGCTGACATGCCCCCCCAGGGCTGGACCTAAACGCTGTTTTGCTGGGCTTCGGCTGTGTTTCCGTTCTTCGTTTGGGCAGGGAGGTACAGGAAGAGAGGTCGAGCAAAACGAAACACAAAACGACAACAGCACAAGGAAAAAGTTTAGGTCCAGCCCTCTGCTCTCCCGCTCCCCCCACCCTGCCCGAGAGCAGGCGTCTTGGAGCGCGCCGGCAAGGACAGCGACGCCGGCCGGGGCGTGCGCGCGTTGGTGGGCCGGGCACCTCTGCTCCAGGCCTCCCAATTGGAGTGGGAGGAGGCGCGGCCGGTGGATCGCGCCCAATCGCCGATGTATCGGGGATGGAGTCCGACTTTCTCCACGCCAGCCGCGCCGATGCATCGCCGACGTGGCCGATACATCGCCGATGTATCGGCATTGGCGATGCGGCGCGATCCTTCGACCCCAACCACTGGGACCCCATTTGGGAGGCCTCCATTTGCTGCTCCGCTGCGCTCTGGGCTGGCGGGCATGAGTTTCGTGGAGCAAGCAATGACATAAGCACACTCTGAGATCCATGCGGATTTCTCGGATCGGCGCTGGACCCCCCTCCCTGGCGCGCGGGGAGCGCGCCAGGGGCGGCGTCACAGGTGCCGCCAGGGAGCCCCAGGAGTGTCGAAACACGACCCCGCCAGAGGGGAGGCGCACGGGGTATCGGAGGAGGAGGAGGAGGAGGAGGAGGAGGAGCAGGAGCAGGAGGAGCAGGAGGAGGAGGGGGAGGAGGAGGAGGGAGGCGTGAGTCCTGCTTGAACCGCCAGGCAGTATGTAGCGGGAGCGCAATTCCTGAGCGTCGAGGACCGGCATCTGAATACATTGAGGAAATATCAAGCGAAGCGGTTCGGCGGGTAAGTTGCGAGGAAGTCCCAAGCGAGAACGCGATTTTGCAATACATTCTCAAGAAGTATCAAGCGGGAGCTGCGATTCGGTGGGAAATTGTTAAGAAGTCCCAAGCGAGAGCGCGATTCTTCAATCAATTGTGAGGAAGTATCAGGCGGGAGCCGCTGTTCTTGGAAACCGGGGGCCAACGACACAGTTTGAGCTTCAAGATGTTCTTTGATAAAAAACAGGGTGCGAGCCCCGGGAGGGGCACGTCAATCGGAAAAATACAATGTGCACCGTGCGGGGGGGATAAACAATAATCATTCTTCAAGAGTGAGAATTCAACCGTTCCCGCCTGATACTTCCTCACAATGTATTCCAAAATCGCGCTCTCGCGAAGGACGTCCTCAGAATTCATGTACGCATCGCGCTCTCGCGTGGGACTTCCCCGCAATTTATTCAGACGATGCACCCTCGGCGCTCAGGAATCACGATCTCGCTTTGGCCTTTCTCACGATTTACTTAGGAATCGCGCTATCGCTCAAGACATCCTCGCGATTCATGCAGGACCCACGCTTCAGCAAGCCGCCTGCTCGACCTCGTCGCCTGGGCCCGCCTTCCCGACCTGCCCCCTATGGGTCTGCCCACCCGATCTGCCCGTCTGGTTTTCCACTTGTTTTCTGCTCCTTGCCCCTTTCCTGCTCATTTCTCTCGTGCTCCATTGTTCTCCCTCCCCCTTCCATCCGTCCTCTCTTCCCTTGTTTTGAGGGTTGCACTAAATGCACGTGGCAGGTAAGGAAGATATACCCTCAAGGGGGTACGATCGAAGACGACGAGGGCGGGAACCGAGGGTCTGGGATCTACGTATTGCTTATCACGTGAGCAGATAGGAGCGAACAGTCTTACACTATGCTTGTTGCGGTTGTTGATATTGTTATTGTTGTTGTTGTTGTTGTTGTTGGTGTTGTGGTTGTTGTTGTTGTTGTTGTTGTTGATGTTGTTGTTGTTGTTGTTGTTGTTGTTGTTGTTGTTGTTGTTTTTGTTGTTTTTGTTGTTGGTGGTGTTGTTGTTGTTGTTGTTGTTGTAAGCTGGGGGCCAGGGGCCCAATTTGAGCCCCGTGATTTTCCCTGATAAAAAAGGGTGCGAACCCCGGGGGAAACACTTCAATTGAAAAACATCATGGCCACAGGAGGGGGGGATCAACAATGATTACCCTTCAATAGTGAGAGTTCGACAACGGCACCAACAACACTAACAACAACACCACCCGCCTGATACTTCTTCACATTTCTTCCCAACTCGTGCTCTCGCGCGGGACTCCCTGACACGTTATGCAGGAATCGCGTTCTCGCGTGGGATTTCCCCCCAATGTATTTAGACGCCGCGCCCTCGACACTCAGGAATCAGGCTCTCGCTTTGGTCTTTATCGCTTTGGCCATGCCCAACATGGCCCGTTCAACTTCGTGTAGGCATGCTCAGACGCAATCAGGTACATGAAATCGACATGCACTTCTCGCGCACGCCCAGCGACCCCACACGCCCACCGTAGGCACGCAGGCCGAATTGTGATCGTTTTCTGATTCCTTGTTTTGCCGATCGGCGCGGGCCCTCGTACGCCCCCCCTCCCCCCATAGGGAGTAGATCTTGGCTGCTGTTAGCGCCTATTTTGAGCAGGTGGAGTCTCCCCCATGATGGACGCCCTGCTGCAAACAGTCGCACTAAGCAGAGGTCCAGAGCCAGACTCCCCCCCCTGCCCCCCCTTCCGCCCAATGTGGAAACGCCGAATAAGAGAACGCCCACATTTTGGCCTACCAAAGGGAACCTAGTGCCATGCCAGGCCTCTCGGATGTCGGGCGGCAAGATCAAAACAGATCCGCTGCCCCAGACCTGGCCTCTCCTGGGCTGGCCGAGGAGCGGTGGTAAAATGCCCTCCTGGCTCGGCTGCTTGGCCAGGGAGGCCGAACAAACACGCTCCTGGGCCCAGGATGGGTACGGCCTGGGGCAGTGGAGAGAGAGAGAGAGAGAAAAAAAAAAAACACACATATATATATATATATATACAGACCCATCGGTCGTTGAAAGTAGGTATTTTTGGATATCCAGATTCCAATATACTTTAAGCGCCTTCGTACTTCACTGATCGAGTAGCTTCACCTTATTCGTCCTCCACGGGGGCGGACGGAACGCAATCTATTTTCAACGCCTTCCTACTTCATGTTTCTGCCTACTTCTTCCGTCCGATGGATATGTATGTATGTATGCATGCATGCATACGTGTATGTATGTCTGTACATATGTACGTATTCCTGCCTGTATGTATGTATGTATGTGTGTATGTATGTATGTATGTACGTACGTATGTATGTCTGTCTGTATGTATGTATGTATGTATGTATGTATGTGTGTGTGTGTATGTCTGTCTGTCTGTCTGTCTGTCTGTCTGTCTGTCTGTATGCATGCATGCATGCATGCATGTATGTATGTATGTATGTATGTATGTATGTATGTATGTATGTATGTGTATATATATGTATGCATGCATGCACGCACTATTGTATGTATGTATGCATGTATGCATGCATGCATGTATGCATGTATGTATGTGCATGCATGTATGTATGTATGTATGCATGCATGCATGCACGCATACATGCATACGTACATACATACATTATTGCTTGCATGCATGCATGCATGCATGCATACACACATGCATATATACATACATACATACATACATACATACATACATACATACATACATACATACATACATACATACATACATATACATACATACATACATACATACATACATACATACATACACATATGCATACGTGCATACACACCCACATACATACATGTATACATGTATGTATGTATGCATGTATGTATGTATGCATGTATGTATGTATGCATGCATGCATGGATGTATGGATGTATGTATATATGTATGTATGTATGTATGTATTTAATGTATGCGTGTGTGTATGACTGTATGTACCGTATGCATGTATGTATGTATGTAGTCATGTACGTATGTCTGTATGTATGTATGTATGTATGCATGTATGTATGTATGTATGTATGTATGTATGTATGTAGGTCGACACATATGCATGCATGCATGCATATATGTATAGGTGTTTGTATATGTGTATGGACATGTGCGTGTACATGTATATGTACATGTATGTGTATAGATATACATATGCAGGTGCACATGCATATTTCATGTACATGTATATGTACATGCGTGTGTATGTTCATATGTATATGTATAGTTATATGTATACGTGCATACCTATGCACGTGCATATGCATATGTGCATGCATATACACATACATATTTATATACACTTGTTTATGCCCGTGCATATGTGTATGCACATGTATATTTACATATATACGTATATGTGTATATATATATATTCATATATATATACAGATGTGTGTATATCGACTCCGCCGCAACTGGATATGTCATAATCGACCCTGCCGCCCTCAGATGAGGCTGTAGCAGGTGGGTCGGATGATCGCGCCGCTGCACCGCCGATGCGTCGCGCTCTGGGGGCCTGGCTCACCGTGCGGTGACGGACCGTGCGGTGAGGTCTCTTGGGGTTCCGAGGTCACCGCACGGCTCTGGGATCCCCAAAGATGCCACCGCCCACCGACCGAAAATCCGTCGGTGGGGGGGCCAGCCCCTGGCCGGTGGCCCGCCCGAGCGTCCGCCCAGTTTTGGACGACGCTCGGGCGCGCCCCCGCCCAAGGGTGGGTCCCACCGATGGGTTCCCCGTGGCGGTGGTCTCCGTTTCGCCTCTGCATCCGCCGAGGCGGACTTTTCCAGTCCGCGGCCTGCAGAGGCCCCGACCCCTCCCCGGGCGCTGCTTGGCGCCCCGGCTCCGTGTTTGCTGGCCCTGGGGCCGCCGGCTGCGAGCCCCGGAGGCCGACACCGAGGACTCACGCCGGGATCGAAAGCCTCGCGTTGTCGGAGATCTCGGTCTGCTTCTGCTCTGGCCGACGTCGCCGTCCTGCGGCGGGGCCCCGTGCCTGCGGCTCCGCTCCGAGCCCCCCCCTCGCCGTGGAGGGGCGTGCGGGTTGCCCCGGCCGGTCGGCGGCAGCCGCCTCCCAGGTGGAGCACACCGAGAGGCTGTACGGCTTCCGCGTCACTGCGATCCAGCTGAACTTCCACGTGAACCAGGCCCAGGGGTCAGCATCGTGTAACCGATCCCTATCACCATCCCCATCCCCGTCCCGCACCCCACCATCCCACCACCCCAGTTGGGGGTGTGCCCCTCGAAACCCGGAGGGAGCAGCCTGTGTTCCAATCTAGGGGGTGTGAAGTGGCCAGGGGGGCCCAGGCCATGCCCGTGGGGATGGGGATCGGTTCACCGATGCTCAAGCGGGGGGGCGTCGGGGGTAGGGGGGGATCAGGAGAGCGCGAGAGATATGTGTGCACACACACACACACGACGCACACTCACATGTATGCCTATCTCTGTAAGCACATAGTGTGCGTAGCTGTGTGTGTGTGTGCGCATCCGCACAGTGCATGAACAAAGGCATAGGCATGCGGTTGGCGTCGCAGGGATCAAGTGCAGCATCGATCTCCGAAAGGCACGCTATGACCCTGTGAGGCGACCCCGAGGCGAAACGAAGAAGAGGAGGAGGAGGAGAAGAAGAAGGAGGAGAAGGAAGAGGAGGAGGAGGAGGAGGAGGAGGAGGAGGGAAAGGACGAGCAGCACGACGTGGAGCAAGACGAGAGGATCTGGCAGCCTGACGGCGGCGGGTGAAGACCTCGGCGCCGGAGACCGGGTGGCGGGTGAACTCCACCCGGGGGGGGGGGCGAGCGACGGGCGGAGGGGCGGCGTGGGGGAGGCCCCGGGGAGGCTGACCTCGCTCGCCCACGGGTGAGCACCCGCGGCGAGGTCTCGGCGCGTCCGCCGGCTCTCGCCGCAGGGGGGTCGCAGTCGGATGCGCCCGACGTCGTGCGATCGTGGAGCGCCAGGCTTTGGGCCCGCCCTCTCACGAGCCTTGTCTTCCTGCTCCCTCCCAGCTGCGTTCTCCCCCCTCGTTCGTCCTCTGTGCGTCCTCCTCCCTCCTGCGTCCTCCTTCCGCTCGCCTCCCGCTCCTCCTCTTCCTCCTCCGCCTCCTCCTGCTTCGTGCTTCCTCCTTCCCCCTCTCTTCTTCCCCCTCGCGCTCTCTACCCTCCTCTCTTTCCTCTCGCCACCTTCCTCCATTCTGCGCCCCGCGAACAAATTGTTGACGCTTCGCGAATCCCAACCAGCCCATCCAGAAGCGATGCCCAGAGGAATTGCCTCGATCAGGGAAGTGGGCAGCACACAGAGGAAGTCATTCTGAGACATCTTGAGATATCTTGAGCCATCTTGGGGGTCATTTTGGGCTCTCCCAGGCGCTCTTGGAGTCATCTTAATCAGTGCCCCCCCCAACAGGCCAACATGTGGCTAACACCTTCGTGTAATCAATGATTCGGCATTCTCGCCGAGGCCTCTTGGAGCATCTTGGGTGCCTCTGGGGGGTCTCTTGGGTCCTCTTGGGGGTCTCTTGGGAGCCTCTTGGGGGCATCCTGGGGGCCTCTTGGGGCTTCCTGGCCACCTCTTGGGGCCCTCTTGGGGCACCCTGGGGAGCCTTGGGGGCCATCTTTGGGCCATGTCGGGTGAGATCGATCACAGGAGGGGGGGTGTTCGATTAGCGTCCCCCCCCAGGAGGCCAAAATGGGGCCCAAACCCTAGTAAAACTAATGATTTTGGCTTCCTCGCCGAGGCCGTTTTGGACGCTCCGACGACTCGCGAAACCCCCTGTCCAGGTCCAGGGGAGGGGGTAGGGAGAGGGGTAAACTCCTCCCCGAAGGGGACGAAGGAGGGGTGGAAGAGGAAACTCCCTAAACCACCTACGCCCAGAGGGCTGGTGGGATTTCGGACTCGTTTGGCCTTGTAGAGGCTGGTTTCACCTGGGTGCAGGATCGGGAAAAGGAGTCTACCAGAGCGTCGTGGTCGCGTACCGACGAGTCTGACTCTGGAGCCATTGGTCCGATTGGGGTTTTTGATCACATGATTGTGGGCCCGCCCCCAACAAGCATCCTCAAATCCCCCCTCGGCCATCCTCCCTGCTCCATCCTGCCTCCCCCCTGCGTGTTCCCCTCTTCCTCCACCGTCGGGGGCGCCCCCCCTGCACGAGACGTCGTCCCACAAGCAGCACCGCGACATTTACGGCGCGGGGCAGAAGGCCAGGCGGGCTCCCAGAGCCTTCCTTTTTGTCGGGGCGGGCGGATGGTTGTGTGTGTGTGTGCGTTGTGTGCATGCCTGTTTCATGCATGCGTCAACCTCCTGTCTGTTGCCCCTCATCTGCGCGCGCTCCGTGGTAACCTCCTTAGCTCATCCCTCTGATGCCCTCGCTGAGTTGGATCAGCAGGCTGCGAAGTAAAACATGTGCGTTGTGTGTGCATGTGTGTCAACTGTGTGTGTGTGTGTGTGCGTGTTTGGGCTTTCGGCTGGTCTTGGCCTCCTTGTCGCTCCACGCTGCTCACTCTCTCCCCCCGCCAGCCACTTCCGAATGGCTTATGGCACCTTCACCTCATTGGAGCCTCGTCCTTTGACCGCTCCCCCAAGCATCCACGCCCGGATGAGTTATGACGGCAGGCTGCTGCGGGACCCTGAGCGGTGTCTGAGAGCTCGGGCGCTCCTAGTCGCGCGCGCGCGTGTCTGCTGCTTTACGATCTTTTCTGCCCTGTCGACGCGCGCAGGGTCGCGACGCCAACAAGTGTGTGTGTGTGTGTGCGCTTTTTTGGGGGGGCCTTGTCTCATTTCTTCGCCCGTCTTGCCTTCTGCCCGCTCTGTTCCGGCCCGCCTTCCCTTCCTGCTCTTCGCCCTGCCTCTGCTCTTGCTCAGCCCTCGCCCTGCAATTTCCCGTTCCTGCTGTGTTTGTGTCTCCTCCCCTGCCCTCCTCCGCGTCCGTCCCTGTCCCCGCATTTTCTTCCGAGGCGGGAATTTGTACATGACCACCGCCTGGAGGGGGAGTTTTCGGAGCCTCGGCAGGCGGTGGATATGGACATGTTCTGGCCCCCGGGGGCCGAAATATATCCATATCCGCCGCCCGCTGGGGCACCAGGACGTCGGTTCCCAGTCGGCGGATCTGGATAAATCCCCGCTTCGCAGTTCTGGCTGCCGGTCTTCTTGTCTCTCTCTCTCTTTCCATCTCGCTTGCTGCGTCTCCGCGTCTTCTCAGTTATTTTGTCGGCCGCCGCGACGCTGGGCGAATGGTTGCCGAGGCAAACGTGTAAGAGCGTGTGTGTGTGTGTGTGTGTGTATGTGTGTGTGTGGTTAGTGATTGTGTGTGTGTGTGTCTCTGTGGGTTCTTCATGGGCGACTGGTTTTTTGTCGCGAATAAGCTGGAACTCGGGTTAGCTGACTTTTTTTTGACGAGCGCGTCCTGGAATTTCACGGTCCCATTTTCGTGGGATGTTTGCAGCGGGAGCCCGCGTCAATTTTCAGATTGGGTCTCGTCATGTTTATGATGGCCCCCGTCAGGCCAACCCGAGTCCCCCGAACCCGAGTCTTACGTCTCCCCGAATTTGCATGTGTCTAGAAAAGTGTGGGCAATTATTGTTCACCGCGCCCCGCTTTCGATACTGTTTGCCGAAATTTGCGACCCAGCAGCGCGTCGGAGGAGTTGAACGCATGTGGGTTTGTGTGTGGAGTGAACATATCGGTGGTGCTGCCAGGTGATGATGATGCTGCTGATGATGCTGCTGATGATGCTGCTGATGATGAGGAGGATGCTGATTCTGATGATGCTGCTGATGATGATGCTGATGATGATGATGCTGTTGATGATGATGATGATGATGATGATGATGATGATGATGATGCTGATGCTGATGCTGATGCTGATGCTGATGCTGCTGCTGCTGCTGCTGTTGCGGCTACTGCTGATGTTGATGACGATGATGATGATGATGATGATGATGATGATGATGATGCTGATGGTGATGATGATGATGATGATGATGACGATGACGACGACGACGATGATGATGATGATGATGATGATGATGATGATGATGATGATGATGATGATGATGATGATGATGATGATGATGATGATGATGATGATGATGATGATGATGATGATGATGATGATGATGATGATGATGATGATGATGATGATGATGATGATGATGATGATGATGATGATGATGATGATGATGATGATGATGATGATGATGATGATGATGATGATGATGATGATGATGATGATGATGATGATGATGATGATGATGATGATGATGATGATGATGATGATGATGATGATGATGATGATGATGATGATGATGATGATGATGATGATGATGATGATGATGATGATGATGATGATGATGATGATGATGATCATGATGATGCTGACGATGATTAGTAGGAGGAGGAGGAGGAGGAGAAGGAGGAGGAGGAGGGGAAGGAGAAGGAGGAAGAGAAGGAGGATATGGAAAAAGGAGGATGAGGAGGAGGAGGAGGAATCTGAGGAGGACTTGTGTGTGATAGCACTGCCGAGCACTATGTAGGCTTTCGCATTCTTTTACGTCGCAGCGCGGCAGAGGCAGTCCGCACGCGCGTTCAGGCGGTCGGGGAAACGGGAACCGCAACTTAGCCGGTGGCAGGAGAGGGGAGGGAGAGACAGTTGAAGCGGCCGCGCAGCGGGAGGGAAAGAGAAGGGGGCACTCACATGGCGAGGTGCATCACCGCGGAACGGCAGGGGCGGCCAGCCGGTGCTGCGCCACTTGGCGGTGAGCGCAGGGCGGCGCCGCTGCCACACCCAGGGGCGGGGGCAGGAGCTGCACTGCACGACGTGGGGGCATTGCAGTGCGGGAGGCGGGCGCGAACGGACATTTCTAACTCGTCAGAAGTCAGCGCGGCCAGTGCGAGCTAGCGGGTGGCCACAGGCGGCGAAGTACGGCGGAGGGTGAAAGCCGGCTGGCGGGAGAGGGGGCAGTGCTGCCTGCTGGTGCTGGTGTGGGCAGAGCTGGAGAGGAACGGATCCGGCCAGCAGCGGGCCAGTGGCGGAGCGGCGTCGCAAAGGGCGGGGGCGCAGTAGCGCTCCCAACCACCAGAGCCACGGACGGGAGGGGACCAGGGCGGGTAATTGCTGCCGGGAACCAGCACGGAGGGCGGGTAGCGGGGCAGCTTGCTGTGGCCATTCACAGTGTGATCATTCATACGCAAATTCGCGCGCACTCAGACTCTCCACCCTCCTTTATTCCTCGTTCAAGCACTCTGCGCTTCCGTCAGGTGATGCATCGGCGCGTATCCACTGTGGCGCACTCGTTCGCTTCCTCTGGGTCGTGCCCCAGCGCGTACTCACTTTTACGCGCTGGTGCGCTTCCTTTGGGTCGTGCATCGGCGCGTATACACTGGACGCACTCCCTTTCTTCTGCTTGAGTTGTTTTCCCTTCTCTTCCTTCTTCGTCTTCTCTCCTTTTCCCCTTTTGATTCCATGTTCAGATACGGTAAACATTTCTTTCTCTTCCCCTCCTTGCTTCCCCTCGCTCGTATTTTCACATCCCTCTGCCACCATTTGTTCGTATTTCCCATCTCCTACATGTGGGGTTCTTGTTATTCGTGTGGCGCCTCATTCTGCCTTCTTCCTCCCTTCCCTCACCTCACTCGCACTCATGTGTTCCCACATTCAAACTCGCTCACATTTAGAGTCGCGCGGCTTCATTCCGTTTCACACTCAGACTTGTTCGTATTCAGACTCAACATTAATGCTCATTCATATTCATATGCATCCGTATTTGCATGAATTCAGATGCAGATTCCTTTTCACCTTTTTGGGGCCTTGCAGGGTTTGTGTCGGCATTCCCGATTTAGGTCACCCCCCCATTGCCCCCCGCCAAGTGCGCGTTGCGGCATCAGTGGCGGCCAGTGGCGCGCTTGTTTGATTAGGCCTTCCCTCGGAGTTCTTGAGGTTGACACCGACACCAATATCGGCGGTGTGGTGTGCCTCCACCGAGGGAGGATGATCCCCATGTCGGTGATGGTGGTGCTCTTCGGGTTCCCTCTAGGTGGCCGAGGACAATGCCACCCACATCAAAATCTGGGATCATCTTCCCCCGGTGGAGGCAACACCCTGTGCTGGCTGTGGTGTCCATTTCCGAGGCCTCCAGTTCCCCTCCGTCGTTCCCCTCCGCCGCCCCCCTGCGCCCCCCCCCCCCCGTCCTGCCCGTGCCGCCCCGTCCTCTCCCTCTCCCCCCCTCTCTCTCTCAATTCACCTGCCCGCCCTCCCCCTTTCCCTCGCTCTGCCCCCTTTTTTTTCCTCGTGCCCTCGTTCCACTCGCTCCCCCTCCTGCTCCTCCTTCTTCCCCCCTCCTGCGTCCTCCGTCCTCCTCCCGATGTTCTTCGTCGCCGTCCGTCCCCGCCCTTCTGTAGGCGGCGAGCCCAGGGGGAACAGCAGAGGGGGCGGGCCCTCTCAGAAGGTTCGGGAGGCCCGAGAAGTTTTCAAAGCCCTCTTCGAAGCTAGGGACGGTTTCCTCGAAGGCTGGAGGGCTTTTGCGAAGCTGTCCCTGCCCTCCGAGAAGGCCTGCCCCCTCTCGCTTCCCTCCCAGGCTCGCCGCCAAGTTTTTTCCCTTCGCCCCTCTGTTTCTCCTCCTTCCGTCGCCGTGCCGGGCGGCCAGAGCACCGCCCGCAGGGCGGCATCAACTGCACCTGCTCCTTCGCGAAGTGCACGGGCACCGTGTGCTACTCGCTGGGGTCCAGCCGGCAGGCGCCCCTGCTGGTGCAGAGTGCTGTTCGTACTCGAGAGGCCCACGTCTCCTCCGACCCCCATGGCGGTGGGCTCTTCAAGAGTCGTGCCACCGTGCCTGACTAGTGTGGGTCAGGAGCCAGTGCTGTTCCATATTCGCCCGTCCCACCCCCCACTTTCTCCCCTTCTCGACGCCCTTTCGCTCCTTCACTTTCGTCCCCGCCCCCGCGTCTTCCTTCTTTTTTGTCCTCTTCCTCCTCAGCCTCCCTCGTCCTCGGCCTCGTCCCTCTTCCTCCCCAGCCTCGCCTTCCTCCTCACCCCATCTTCGCCCTCCCTCCTCTTCCTCCCTCTCCCCTCGGCCTCCCCCGGCCTCCCTCCTCTTCCTCCTCATCCCTCTTCCTCGCTCAGCCTCCCTCCGTCCTCTTCCTCCTCGCCCCATTTTTTTTTCTCTGCTCCTCGGCCGTGCGCCCCCCCCCTCTTTGCCCGCCCCCCCCCGTGCCAGTTTCACCGGTGCCGTGCCCTCGGCTCTCGGCAGCCCCTCGGCCCTGCAGAGCCTCCGGATCTGCCCGTCAGGTGCTGACGCAGACCATTGCGGACAAGCGCTCCAGATACGAGGTGCCCCCGCTGGCCCCAACCCCTTCGCAGGGGGACGGGGTGATGGTTGTGCTGCTGATGGTGATGGCGATGATGCCCATGCTGATACTGATGCTGATGGTGATGCTGGTGATGCTGCTGCGGCTGAATGATGATGACGATGCTGATGATGATGATTATGATGATGATGATGATGATGATGATGATGATGATGATGCTGCGGCTGAATGATGATGATGATGCTGGTAATGCTGATGCTGCTGATGATGATGGTTATGATGGTGGTTATGATGATGATGGTGATGATGATGATGGTGGTGGTCGTGCTGAATACGTTAGTGTTGTTGTTGATGATGATTATGATGATGATGATTGCGGTGATGATGCTGATGATGGCCATGATGACGATTTGATGATGATGATTACGATGATGATGCTGATGATGGCGATGATCATGCTGATGCTGATGCTGATGCTGATGATGCTGCTGTTGCTGCTGATGATGCTGAGTTCGATGCTGTTGATGATGACTACGATGCTGATGTTTATGACGATGATGATTACAATGCGGATGATGGTGAGGTTGGTGGATGTGATACTGATGTTGATGTGAATGATGCTACTACTACTACTACTACTGATGATGATGATGATGATGCTGTTGATGATGATGATGATGATGATGATGATGATGATGATGATGCCGATGATGATCACGATGATGATGTCGGTGATGCTTGCGATGGTGGTGACGATGATGATGCTGATGATGCTGATAATGATGATAACGGTGATAATGATGATGATGCTGCTGCGGCTGAATGATGTTGATGATGGTGATGATTGTGATTATCGTATTGATGATAATGATTATGATGGCTGTGATGAAGGTGATGCTGATGATGCTGATGATGATGCTGTTGATGATCCTAGTTGTGGTGGTTTCCGTGGGGGAGATGGTGATGATGATGGTGATGATGATGATGATGCTGATGCTGATGCTGATGATGATGATGATGATGATGATGGCGATGAAGACGATGCTGCTGATGCTGCTGCTGCTGATGATGCTGATGCTGATGATGCTGCTGATGCTGATGCTGATGCTGATGACGAAGCTGTTGCGGCTGATGATGATAACTGATTGCTACAATGCTGTTGATGCCGATTGCGATAAGGATGCCGACCATAATGCCGATGCTGATTATGATGGGGGAGGTGGATGAGGTCGGTGACTATGAGATGAATGTTCAGGCAATTGACGTTTCTACTTATGATGATGATGCTGATGATGATGATGCTCATGATGATGCTGCTCAGGGAGGCTGACGGTGATGGTGATGCTGGTGATGGTGGTAGTGGTGATGATGCTGATGCTGATGATGCTGATGATGATGATGATGATGATGATGATGGGGGTGATGATGACGGTGACGTTGACGATGATGCTGCTGATGATGATGCTGCACATGTTGATGCTGATGATGCTGGTTATGATGATGCTGCTGCTGCTGCTGCTGATGATGATGATGATGATGATGATGATGATGATGCGGACGACGTCGACGATGATGACATTGCAGCTGATGAGGCTGATGATGATGCTGCTGCTGTTGATGCTGCTGCTGCTGTTGCTTCTGACGGTGATGCGGATTGCGATGCTGTTGATGCCGATTTCGACGATGGTCACGACCATGATAATGATGATGGTTATGCCGCGGATTCGGATGAGGTTGGTGCATCTATGGTGGATGTTGGTGTACCTGATGCTGCGACTGATACTGAGCATGATGATGAGGGTGATGACGATGGTGGTGGTGATGATGATTACGGCGTCATGATGCTGCTGCTGATGATGATGACGGGTAGGATGACGACGTCGACGATCATGATGATTGTGTTGATGCTGATGAGGTTGATGCTGATGATGCTGGTGATGGTGCTGATACAGCCGCTGTTGCTGCAGCCACTGATGATGATCATGGGGATGACGATGATGCTGCTGCTGCTGCTGATGATGATGCTAATGATGATGCTAATGATGATGCTGATGCTGTAACTGTTGATAGTGATGGCGATGACGCTGATTATGATGAGTAGGTTGTCGATGCTGATGATGGTGTTGATGATGTTGGCGATGATGGTGGTGATGTTACTGATCACGGTGATCGTGATGATGAAGCTGCTGATTACGATGATGATGACGATGTTGATGATGCTGATGCTGATGATAGTGGTGCTGATGCTGATGGTGATGATGATGGTGATGGTGATACTGATGATGATGCTGACGCTGATGATAATGCTGATGACGAGGATGCTGATGACGATGTGTTGGTGTTGGATATGCTGATATTGAACATGCGGAAGGTGATGACGATTCTAGTGATGCTGGTGTTTGTGATGTTGCTGATTGTGGTGGTGGTGGTGGTGGTGTTTGTTTTGACTGTAGGATGGTTAGGTCAGCGGTAATTGTGATTACGTGATGATGGTGGAGGTAGTTGAATTTATGACGAGGGCGAGGGATGTGTAGCAGGACGGTGGGGGAGGGTGCTGACGATGAGCAGGCGGTGGAGGAGGAGGAGGCGGGTGAGGATGCGGGGCAAGAGGATGAGGAGTTTAGTGGCGGGGTGGCAGGGCGCGGGAGGAAGAGGGGGGGGGAGGAGATGGAGGAGGGGGAAACGTAGGATGAGGAGGATGAGAAGGGCGACAGGAAGAGTGAGGACCATATTGGGATGAGCAGGGGGACACGGAGGGGGACGCGGAGGAGGAGGAGACGGGTAAGGATGAGGATGAGAGGGAGGAGGAGGGGGGTCAGGAGGGGGGTATAGATGATGTTGATGATGATGATGATGATGATGATGATGATGATGATGATGATGATGATGATGCTGATGCTGATGCTGACGTTGATGATGATGATGCTGATGCTGATGCTGATGACGATGGTGATGATGATGCGGCTGCTGCTGATGATGATGATGGTTTTGCTGATGCTGATGATGTCCGTGATGCTGATGATGATGTTGGTGATTATGATGATGATGATGATGATGATGATGATGATGATGATGATGATGATGATGATGATGATGATGATGATGATGATGATGATGATGCTGATGAGGATGATGATGATGATGCGGAGGAGGAGGGGGAGGAGGAGGCGGAGGAGGCGGAGGGATAAGAGGGACCAATGATTGAGATGGATGGGACAGGGCAGCGGAATGGGCGATGAGGGAATTGAGGAGGAAGAGGCGAGGGAGGAGGAGAAGGATGAGGAGGAGGATGAGGAGGAGGAGGATGAGGAGGAGATGGAGGAGGCCGGGGGGGGAGGACGACTAGTAAAGGGAGACGGGACAGAGGGCGAGGAGGGAGCTGATAGGCTGGCGACGGGAAGAGAAAGGCGATGACGACAGCGAAAGGGGATGGCGATGGCGATGACGATGGTGATGCTGATGATATTATGGCGTTGGTGATATCAGATATGAGGATTCGGGTGTTGATGATGCTGATGCTTATGAGGTGGTGACGACGACGGCGACAACGATAATGATGACGGTGATGATTATGAATATGATTGTGATGATGTTGGTGTTGATGTTGATGTTGATGTTGATGATGATGTTGTTGTTGATGATGATGATACTGAGATGTTGTCGATGATGTTGGTGATGTTGCTAATGATACTGATGGTAATGGTAATGAATCTGCTGATGCTAATGATGATGCTGACACTGATAACGATGATGCTGTTGATGATGGTGATACTGGGGTTGCCGTCTGTTGTGATGATGACGAGGATGCGTATGCTGCTGCTGATGATGCTTTTGATGATGCTGACGACGACCACGATGATGCCAATGAGAGCACTGTGATGGTGATGTTGCTGATCGTGATGACGATGGTAAATATGATGATGCTGATGATGATCATTGTGATGATCAGGATGCTGTTAATGTTGATGATATTGATGATGCTGATGCTGGTGATGATGATGGTGCTGCTGATGATGATGCTGATGCTGATGATGATGCTGATGATGATGATGCTGATGATGATGATGATGATGATGATGATGATGATGATGCTGATGTTGATGATGATGATGATGATGATTATGATGACGGTGATAAGGAGGGTGACGAGGAGGGTGATGGGGAATACGACAATGTCGAGGAGTAGGGCGAGGACGAGGATGGCGAGGAAGAGGACGGTCCTATCGACGGCAATGGCCTGCTGCTTTCCATTCGTTCTGGCCCTGTTGCCCCCGTTGCCTACCGAGGCATGCGGCGAGGACTGTGCGGGCTGCAAGACGTACAGGCGGGTGCTGGTCCTCGCCGTCCTCTCCTTTCCCCTCTCCTCGTCCTCGTCCCCTTCGCCCTCTTCACTCTCCTCCCTGTCCTCGCCATCCTGGTCCCTCCCCATCTTCTCCTGTCCCCATCCCCTCTCGCCCTCCACCCCTCCTACGCCCTCCCCTTGTGCCCCAGCGGAGCTCAGAGACTATCCCCTCTCGTATGCGCCCTCGAGGGCGCGAAGTTATTCGCGCTTCGCGGTTCGGCTCCGATTCCTCCTCATCCTCCTCTTATCCCCTGGGAGGCGGCGCGAGAGCGCGAAGTTATTCGTACTTCGCGCTTCGCGCAGCGCGAAGCGCGAATTTGGGAGCCATTGGGGACGCGGGGGGTGGGGTGTGGGGGGTGTGGGGGGGGGCGTCTCCACTGCCCGCCTCCAGGTGGATGCACAGCGGAAGCGCCATGTACTTCAACGATAGGTTCAACAACAACCACACACACGGCGCGCTGGGCAGCCCAAGCAGCGGGGCAATGTGGGTTTCCCTTCCCTTCCTGGGGCCCTGGTGGGGCCCTTGGGGGAGGAGTGGGAGGAGAGGGCCGGCGGCAGTGATGGTGATGATGCTGATGATGACGATGACGATGACGATGACGATGACGACGACGATGACGATTATGCAATTTATGATTCTGACGACGGCGACGACGTGGCTGCTCCCTGTCGCTGCTCCAGTGCGAGCGGTGAGGATGGCACACGTGGCACACGGGACATGATGATGATGATGATGATGGTGGTGATGATGATGATGATGATCATGATGATGATGATGATGATGTTGATGCTGATGATAATGATGATGATGATGATGATGATGATGATGATGATGATGATGATGATGTTGATGGTGATGATGATGAGGATGAGGTGGATGATGATAACAGCTGTGATTGAACATGCTGATGCATGTGATATGACGACGGTGTAAATGATGACGTTGAGGTTGAGTATGTGAAACAGGATCGTGCATGCGATGATTTTTGATGGTGATGCTGCTGCTGACGATGCTGTCGATGCTGCTGAGGATGACGATGACGAAACTGCTTATGACAATGCTGCTGCTTCTGACGATGATGTTGATGTTGATGGTGATGATGATGCTTCTGATGATGCTGATGATGGTGACGACGATGAGGATGATGGTTGTGATGATGATGCTGATGATGATGTTGACGATGATGCTGATGAAGATGACGATGATGGTGGCCATGATGACGATGATGCATATGGTGCGGATGCTGATGAGCTTGGATAATATGATAATGGTGTCAATGTAAATGATGCTACTACTGATTATAATGATGCTAATGATGATGATGATGATGATGCTGATGCTGATGCTGATGCTGATGCTGATGATGATGCTGCTGCTGCTGATGATTATGATGCTGATGATGATGCTGATGCTGATGCTGATGCTGATGCTGATGATGATGATGATGATGATGATGATGATGATGATGATGATGATGATGATGATGATGATGATGCTGATGATGCTGATGATGATGATGCTGCTGCTGCTGATATGATGATGATGCTGCTGATGATGATGATGCTGCTTTTGATGATAGAAGCACATCGTTGACATTTACACATCCAAGCCTGCCCGAAGGTGGCAGGCCGCACTGTCGAGCGCGATGCGTGGGTGGGTGGGAGTAGCGCGCTCCAAGGCAGCCGCAGGAGGCACACGAGGCAGCCCACGCGGGGCGCACTGGTTAGATGTTTGATGACGCGACCTTCCTGGGCCCCCCACAGCGAATCGGTTCAACTCCAGCTCGACTCCAGTTCGATTTCAGTTCGGCTCAAGTTCGATTCACGGTAGGCTCAAGTCGACGGACCTTCGACGCCGCATCGACGCGTGAGTGGAGCGAGTGGCTCCAGGAAGGTCCCCAGAGCTGGCGTCTAGCACTTGCGACATCTGAAGGCAGCGTTTCTCACAGAAGCGGTCCACGCAACGCCCCGTGAGGAAGGAGAACAAGAAGCTATCACAATGCTGCGCTCCAGCATTTCCAGATCCTCCTCCTGTTCCGCGCGGGGTCCACAGAGGAGTCCCGCCACAGTCAAATACCATAGTAGGGATGCGGCGCTCTGCAAGGCTGCCCTTGGATTCTTGACTCTTCGACCCTCACTGAGCCGATTTAGAGACGTCCCGCGACGTCCGAATTGGACGTCCGGGGGCCCTGCATCTGTCCCTGGCACCCTCATTGGGAACTGACAGTTCCCAATGAGGGTCTCATGGAAGCAGAAATCCGAAACCCCGACACGAACTGAATCCATAGTTTCTCTGATTGTGCTTCAGATGCTCCAGAACGCCTCGAGTGCACCACGACACCACTCCCGTCGGAACAAGCGGAGCAGAGGGAGCGGCTGCGCTCGGGGGCGGCAGGCAAGAGGCACCCGGCGCACCGCCGTCGATCCGGCAGTGTGCGCCTCGGCCTCCGCCCTGACGGGGGCGCCAGGACGAGGATCTAGGCCTCCCAGATGGCGTCGGAGTAGATGGGGTCGGAGGATCGCCGATGCATCGGCGATGCATCGGCGACGCGGCTCGACGTGGAGCCCGATTTTCTCCATGCGTCGCCGATGCATCGCCGACGTCGACAACGCATCTCTCGTATCGCCGATGCATCGCCGATGTATCGGCGATGCGGCGCGATCCTCCGTCCCCATGTACTCCGACCTCACCCAGGAGGCTTCTAGAGGACGAGTCCGTCCCCGATCGTTCCGGAACGCTCACAGGCGTTCTGGAACTCGGGAGCCTTGAGACGGGGAGTCAATGCAAGCGGGGGTCAGCCAGAGCGCCCGAGCTTGCAGGATCCTGCGGGGCCAGGGGCGCACTGACCCGGGCTTGGGTGCAGGATCCTGCAGGATCTTGCAGGACCCTGCGCGTTGACCCCGGCTTGGATGCAGGATTGTGCACGATTTTGCAGGGCCTGGCTGACCCGGGTCTGGACTGACCCGGGTCAGAAGATCCCCGACGGAGGGGGGGCCCGCTGCTCCTGCCGCGCCCCGCGCGCCTCTGCTCTGGGCCGAAGTCGGACGTGTCCCCCTACAGGGGGGATGCTCAAAGAGTTATAAAAATAGTCAGGGGACGATCTGTTTGAACATGTTTGGATGTTTAGTGTTTTTTTTTGGGGGGGGGGGGAGGGGTCGTTTTCTATTCTTCCACCGAGGAGCGCTTCGAAGAGGCCGCGGCGGCCGAGAGACGCCGTCCCGAAGCGCCGGGTCGCAGAGGTTCCAAGGGGAGTGCGCCAGTCCGCCGACCCACCGAAGAGGCGGGGAGGCAGGCGTCTCGGGCCTCCTGGGCACAGTACACCCTAGGCGATGCTTGAGAAAACCTAAGTTTTCGTCCAGAGACTCGATTGTTCTTAACTCTTCAATGTAAATCCCAAGATTTTGATAGAAGTTCTGGGTTTTGTTCAAGTTCTGAGACTATGAATTTCTTAACCCATGATTTCTCAAGCATTTCGCAGGGTGTATCTGGGGACTCCCGGGGGCGTCTTGGGAACTGCTTGGGGGCGCGGCGCGGCTGAGCCTCCGGGAGCCAGTCTTGGAGCGTCTTGGGGGCGTCTTTGGGGCCCCTTTTGTTGGGTCCTTGGGGGCCTCGAGAGATTCTCGATCAATCCTCCCCCGATGTTATCTTCGTCCTGGCTTCGTCTCCAGTGCAGGTCGGGCGTGTGTCCCCTGGAGGAGACATGACAGTTACATAGTCCAAAAACATTCAAACATTGCCAACAAATAGTCAAATAGTCATCCCCAGACCATTTTTAGACTATTTTTGCGTATTCCCCTCCTCTAGAGGGACTGGCCCGATTTGAGGCTTCGTTCCCCGCCCTCCCCGCAGAGCGGTTCCTCCGCTCCCCGGCGCCGCCGTGCGTGACCGGCGGGGGCCACCCTCCCTCGATGTGATCCGTGCCCTCGGCGATCCTCGTCCCTCGATTTTGATCCTTATCCTCGATTTGACCCTCCCTCGATCTGACCCTCCCTCGATTTGATCCTTGTCCTCGATTTGGCCCTGCCTCGATCCCTCGATCTAGCCTCCCCCGATCTGATCCTCGTCCCGGCTTCGTCTCCAGTGCGCCTCGGCCTCCGCCGCCGTGCCCCGGCGGCTCCGTGCCCCCTCCCCCTCCCCGCAGAGCGTTTCTCCTCCGCTCCCCCGGCGCCGCCGTGCGCGGCCGGAGTCGGGAGCCTCGAGACGGGGAGTCAATGCAAACGGGGGTCAGCCAGATGCATCGGCGATGCATCGGCGACGCGGCTCGACGTGGAGCCCGATTTTCTCCGTGCGTCGCCGATGCATTGCCGACGTCGACAACGCATCTCTGGTGTATCGCCGATACATCGCCGATACATCGCATCTCAGATCGCCCGATCTTGCAGGATCCTGCGGGGCCAGGGGCGCACTGACCCGGGTTTGGGTGCAGGATCCTGCAGGATCTTGCAGGAGCCTGCGCGTTGACCCCGGCCTGGGTGCAGGACCTTGCAGGTTTTTGCAGGATTCTGCAGGGCCTGGCTGACCCGGGTCTGGACTGACCCGGGACAGAAGATCCCCGACGGAGGGGGGGCCCGCCGCCCTTGCCGCGCTCCGCGCGCCTTTGCTCTGGGCCGAAGTCGGATTCAAAAAGAATCAAAGAATAGTCAGGGGACGATTTGTTTGAATACGTTTGATTTTTTGTTTTGTTTTGTATTTTTTGGGGGGGAGGGGGTCTTTTTTATTCTTCCTCCAGAATCCGCCTGTAGGAGGACGTGCCCGACCTACTTCTAGGCCTCCCAGATGGCGTCGGAGTTGATGGGGTCGGAGGATCGCGCCGCATCGCCGATGCATCGGCGATGCGGCTTGATGTGGAGCCCGAATTTCGCCATGCCGACGGCGCCGATGCATAGCCGACGTCGCCGATGCATTGCCGATGCATCGCCGATGCATTGCCGATGCATCGCCGATGCATCGCCGATCTATCGGCGATGCGGCGCGATTCTGACCCCATCTACTCGGGCCCCATCTAGGAGGCTTCTGTTTGTCGGGGAAGCGTAAGCATCGAGCACGCCGGAACTCGGGCGTGCTGCCGCTTCTTGACGAGCGCGTCCCGAGTTCTGACGGCTCTGTTTTCGTGGGATGTTTGCCCCAGGAGCTCGCGTCAATCAGAGGCCAGCAACAGATGTACACGTACGCGGTTCGCTTCCCCATGGAGTGCGTGCCAGCGCGGACGTTCGTGCAGGCAAGACCGCGGATGGCGTACATGTACATATGTCGTTGCTCGCCCACGTCAAGGCTCAGGCTGGGTCTCGTCATTTTCATGATGGCCCCGGCACGCCAAGCCGAGCCCCCCCCCCCCCGAAGCCGAGCCTTGCGACTCCCCGGCAGGGAGGGGGAGGCTCAGCGCCGATCCAAGAACCGCGCACGGACCTCCGCGAGGTTCTGCTCGCGCCGTGCCCGGGCCCCGTCGAGCCGT